CCATGAGAACCAGGGTCTGTGACTGTGAGGCTGCTTGCAGCTGCCTGTAGAAGGCCTCATCAACCTCCTCCTCCTGGTCAGCTGGCCTGTAGTATACACCCACCGTAATGTCACCCGTGTGAGCCTGTCCCTTAATTCTAACCCACAAGCTTTCAACTCGTTCCTCATTTGCCCCCGGGCCAAGCTCAATGAATTCCAGTTGCTCCCTCACATATAGAGCAACTCCCCCACCTCTCCTTGTTGGTCTGTCTTTCCTAAAGAGTCTGTAGCCATCTATGACAGCATGCCAGTCATGCGAGTTGTCCCACCACGTTTCTGTGATGGCGACCAAGTCGTAACCGTCCTGCTGTATAATGGCTTCCAGCTCCTCCTGTTTATTGCCCATACTACGTGCATTGGTGTATCCTGTTTATTGCCCATGCTACATGCATTGGTGTAAACACACTTGAGCTGGGCTGTCAGTCGCACCCCTGACACTGGCACGCCAAGCCTAGGCTCATCCCTAGTGAGCTGGGCAATATCCCCTTCCCCTTTCGAACCTAGTTTAAAGCCCTCTCAATGAGCCCCGCCAGCTCGTGGCCAAGAATTCTTTTTCCCCTTTGAGATAGCTGAAGCTGAGTTCCACCTGTCGCCAGCAGGCCCGGTGCTGTGTACACCTCCCCGTGATCAAAGAAGCCAAAATTTGACTGATGGCACCAGTCCCTGAGCCACCTGTTAACCAGGTGAGTTTTCCTGCCCCTTTCAGTGCTGTCCCCTGCCACTGATGGGATGGATCTTAGATAAGTAGCTCTGTGTAATGCAAAAGAAAATGGAAATTAAAAAGAAAGACTGTTTAAGTGTAAGTACTATTCCAGATTGTTTCAAGTTTAAAAGAAGGTACTCTAGAGAAAGATATATACTGGACAATTTCAGAGTTTCAGGCACTAGAGACTCCAAACACTTCAATGCCTGGAGTTTTCAGAATAAGTTATACCGAGAATATTTTTTTTCTTAGGAGTAAATTTGTTCTATCACTTTTATACCTTGAAGTGATATATTATCAATACCATAATAACATAAAAGTACACAGGGTATTTTTTAAGGTGCAGACAAACGTGTTACGAGTTCTCAGCAGCACAAAATAAATATTAATCTGTCATCTGCGATGATAAAAATAAATCTGTATAATAAAATGTGTACATTTATACACACAGCTTATTTTTTTCATTTTCCAGAGAAAACTAGTCACCATCAGCAGTTACAAAACATAGAACAAAATTACTAAATATATTCAATCTTAAAAAAAATCATAATAAAGATTATTGTTTCATTTCATCTAAAATGTAAACATTTGGTAGTATACTAGTACAAAAGAATCCCTGTAACAGTGACTCCAATAACTCTGTATTACTTAAGAATCTTTATATTTACCCACGCACTGGAATATTCATATTCCTTGCAGATTTAGCAACTTCTTCAAATTTTTCTATGCTTTCTTCAATTGAACAATTAATATTCATTCTGCTGAAAGATTCAGATGCTGCACCAAATACTGAGACTTCTGTAGCCCCTGCTGCAATCTGAAAAAACAGAATCATAACCCTATATTCAAAGATTAGATTAAGTATTTAATTCTGTACAACATCACAGACTTTTAAAGTACATTATATCATCTATGTCTAAAATAAAAGTATTATTCCAATTTTTTTCATATCTATTGCATAAAACCAAATTGAATCAAACCTTGAGTTCATTCACTACAGCATATTTCCCTCCTCTTTTTAAAAATATGGTAAACACATTTTTAAAGTTATAAATTATAAAGGTATTAAGATGTAGGAAATCATGTGAACCAACTATGAAAATAACAATGATTGATACTTACATTCATTTTTCACAAAAAGGAAAAGATCACATAACAACTCTGAAACATCCATCCTCTGTACAGAGCCTGTTTCTCATGAATGCCAGGATGTCATTCTCATGCTTAGGAAAGCTCTGTGTCTGCATGTGCCTAGAGCCGCAACAATAACCAACAGGGATTTCCTTGTTGGAGCCACCTCTAGGATTAAGGGCTCCACTGGTCTTCATGTCATAGTCGATACGGATAATATGGAAAATGTGTATGTGAGAGTCTGCTGAGAAAAAGTCTCAGAGCAAATACCAGTCTAGAAAATGTGCAAATGTGGTGACTTCACCGAAGGGGCAAATAGCCTGAGTTTGTACTCAGTATCTCAGTACTCGATAAATCAACTAACATGAGGTAAATTTGAATACTGAAAGCCAAATGACAGGAGAAGAAAACATTTAACTTAGGAGAACAGCTAATTCATTAATTCTGACTCTCCAGGGAGAATAATACTCTTGTTCTATGAAAAAGAGTGGTGCTTTTCCCTTTACTCTCTGCTTCTTCAGGATAATATCTAAGCTTCAGCAACCCTTACAGGAACAAATACCATTTCAAATAGAAGGCATAAAAAAAAATAGCAGCAAGAAAGAACTCAGCAATCACCTACAACTATTTTTGCACTGTTTTCCTTTCATTATATCAATAAATATGGTACAGAGATATAGTAGATTTAATTCAACTCATACAAGTTACCACTGCAGACAAAGCTGTGGCAATCTGACTACTAACAGTTAACTCGTCTACATACAGGATTCTATTTTAACAGAGATTTCATATGTATCATAGAAACAGAATGATAAACTACACCACAAACATCCACCAAGCAGTATGCTTTCCAAATACAGTATGCTTGCCCCATATCTAGACAAAAAGCATAGAAGTACGAAAATTTTCAGAAAACGAAAGTGTATGAAAGATATGACTATCAATGTGTGTATTTTAAGAAGACTGAACTGCTCCGTTTTCACAATTCCAAACACTTTGAATCTATAATTTTGAATATTTGTTTTGTATGAACTGAAACAATTCAAATTTTCAAACCCTACCAAAACAAAATGCAGAATTTAATATATCTACTATATCCCTATAAAGTATTTTCATTTAACTGACTCTTTCCTCATTCTTCTTCACTACTTTTCAATAAGACACTCTTCAGAAACTTTTCTAGGGCCAACAAGTCAAAGAAGGAGAAGGAACTGTCTTTATATCTAAGCATCATTTATGGGAACTTGCAAAGATGGTTTGGTCAATACTTCCATTAAAATATTAGTATATATAGTTTAACATCACTCTGAATTTGCCTGTTTTTCACAATGAAAACTGGGATTTGTAATTAAAAAAATATACCTTAGTTCTAGCAGGACAGGTTATATGACATGAAATAGCTACATTATGGTAATGAATTGAAAGTGTCTGAAACATGAAAGGGGTAATTGTGGACTTCTTCTCTGAAGGCACTTACAGCAGAATGAAAACCTTGTAGATTCGGCGTGAGAACAGGATATTGGACTCCAGGATGCCGCTCAATGCCCCTCATTACTTCATTGTGATCTGCCATCTAAAATATATAAATAATTTCTATTACCAGCAGTTATTTTCTGATTTTATGCAGCTAAGCAGAAATTGGCTTAGACTGTTCTTGCCTTCATTAGTTATACAGTTCATACAAAAGTTTTACAACAAAGGGGTTAAAGTGATGTTATACAAGCATTATTTTTTTAGATTTCTTAACTTTTGCGTACTTCAGTTACAAGCTTTCCAGTTGTATATGAACACAGAATTTAGGCTAAGATTTCTACGGTGTTTCTTTTTGTGCACCATAAATTGATAGACTTGTGATTATGCTGATCATCAGCTGTTATCACGACTTTAAACTTACCTCACTAGACTCAATAGGTGGAATTACCAGAATATCTGACATTTTAAAATAATTCATATCACGAAAACTTCATCACTCTGATACATGTGACTTCACATTCTTAAGCATAAGTGAACCTGAATTACTCAACACTGTAATCAGCATATTTGAAAAGACTAATCACAAGTCTATCCTTAAAAATGTAGCAGAATCCAGTTCTCTGCTTAGTGTAACATTTTAATATATTTAGAATTTTCTTTCAAAAGAAGAAAATACTTTCTTATTACAGCAAAGGTCAGAGACCATTACTTTATTCAAGCCTTTGTTTTCCTTAACCTTCCCTCACAAAAGAAACACTGCCTTTTTAAGATATTACTCCACTTTTCTCACTCAAGATTAAATATACTGCCTGTACTAATCAAGAAGACGAATCAAAGACTTATTGAAGTAATAGATTGTAGACTATTTAGACAAGCACATTTTCTTGGGAGAAGCGGAGGAAAAATGGGTTTATTTTTTAATGGTGTGTGTGCCTGAAAACAATACATTAAGAAAACATATCCCTCATTATTTCAAGTCTTACAGATTTCGAGTTTTAAAAAATTAATAGTGTATTTTAAATGCTTTTTAAATCAGCTCTCATAAAAGCAAATCTTCCAATCAAACAATATTAAATTGGATTTCTGATTCTTTCCACACTGATGAAAAGCCATTTGAAGAGCACCGTATGAAAAGATGTATGAACTACAAAGCTTTCTTTACTCCTTATTTTCAGCTGATATTTTATTGATAGCTTTGCAGTACTGCATTTCCACATAAGTCATATTAAGTTATACCAGATTATTAAGTGACAATACCACTGGCAATCTGTAATCTTTGTCTCACTGGCTTCCTACTATGAAAATGAATGGATTAAAAATATCAGAAAAATGACTGTATGCCTCCTCAAATGTGAGCCTAACATGTATCTGCAAGGAAGTGGATATACAGTATGAAAAGTATCTTATAGCCAGAGCCAACTCATTTGTCATAAGGAATCAAGTGATGGCACGAAGCAACTTTTTTAAATTGCTTCTACATGAACTAAATCAGTGTGACCACCTAACACATCTGATAACCTCACAAATAACCATTTGGCAATGCCTTGGTTTTTTAAGAACAATTTTTCATTCCTTAATTTAATAAAAATATATTTCTCAGGGCAAGGAAGAATGTTTGAAACCAAATGATTAATTAAATGGCAAATGTTGGAACTAATGCCACACTTTAAAGTAATAGTTTGACTTAAAATATACTAGAAAACCAAAAAGACAGTTTTTCAACCAATCAGAGCTGCCAGGTCCAAATAATATTTTATGTATTACATTCGTCCCGTTACTATTTTTCCTGTAAGTAAAATCCCATTTTAACATATATTGCATGTTACAAGATTTTAAACTGTAATAAAATATTTCTTTTCCAAATGTCTTTACAAATAAGCTTTCTAATGGTAGGTATTTATAATTTTTGGCTGTTTAGGTTATAGGTGTGGGATCCTGTTTTACATGGCACCTCGCTACTGTGGAACTTTCTCTTTCAGCTTTTTTCAGTTAAAAAAAAAAAACTCTGCCAAAAAAAACAGTGGATGGGAAACCATAAAAGAGCTTTAATATACTAAAAAAAGAAATAAGTGAATGAGTGATCTAAACGTAACTGTGAATTCTATTCCCATGACCTATGAAAAGAAAAAAGAAAGGAGCAAAGAAAAGGCAAAGTCAAGACTGCAATCCATATCAAAGCAACACAATATTATCTTTTAAATAAAAATAATCTTAAAAACCAATTAAGCAATTAAAATAAAGTATTCAGACAGGAATTTAAGATAAGAAAGGATTGTTAATTTTTTTCCAAAATGGACAAATCTCTGCTAAATTTGGTACTCCTAATGGATCACAGGAAAAGGAAATAATTAAACAAGAAAGGAAGAAATCCACCTTTGCTTTAGACTATTCCTTCTAATGTTTAAATGTTATTCTCTGCTGCTGTAACTGCCAAAGTTTGATGACACTTGGAAAAACCTTGTCTAGCTGCTTTTAACAGACACACTCTGAAAACTCATCACCCCTGCAATGACATCAAAGAAATTCTGCATTGTCACTGTTCTCTTCCCCTTTCCTACTAACCTTCCTTGAGGCCCTTCCCTGGTGATCCCAGGAATGCTGAAATAAATCAAAGGAGTCCCTTAGAGAGCACTATACAGAAAAGGTATGATCGTACCACGTTTTTCTGAGAGGAAAGCCTGGAATACAGTCCAGGCTCAGTATGAATTCTCAGTTTAAAACGGACAAGCTTTATATACATTTTCACAGAAGATGTGCAACAAACAATGTTAAAAAGTCAAGTATTTTCTCAAATCAATTAATTTCATGTTTTACTTTTTGTAAACAACTTACTCAACACGTAAGTACTCAAATGCTTCTGTGCAAACAAGTGCACAATTTATTGAAAATGAGTTTCAGTGACACAGACAAGATTTATTTCCTTACTCACAGGGAATGATTAAGTTTGCACAAACAGGAGCTACATGGTATACTTCAGGACTAAGCCTGAATTTGAAGTGTTAGATCTCAGATGAAAACCTGGCGGTCGCCACGCCAATGTAGTTTTGATGCTGACTTCAGAAAAGCTGGGATTTCTGCTGAATTGTACAAAATGCAAAAATTAATTCTGGAAAAATAATATGCAAATTATTACGATTCATCAAAACTCATTACGGCTGCTGATAGAGTGCTCGATCTGCAAAATAATTGATGTGCCTAAATACTACTACATGCACGTAAGTCCCAAATTTAGATCTTCCAAACACAATTCCAAATGTGCAAAATCAAATTTCTTTTAGGGGAAAAGAAAAAAAGGTATGCTACCTTTCTTTTTTACGTCAATGACTATCAGTTCTCAGAAGAGTAGGCAAGAGGTAGGAACAACATTAAATTATATTCATTATGTGTCACTATCCCAATTCTTTAGTTACAGCTGAATATTTACCTAAACAATGAGCAAAATAAAATGCACAAGTACTTTCTTTGTCTCCATTCCACAATAAAACGTTAACATTGATTCTAAAGAATTTTCTCTGTATTATTAACTGCAAAAAGTCACTGCCTCTCTGTGAACAAATTCAAAATCAGGATAGAATATGCAACACCTCTCCTTAACTAGAATCCTTAACGTGTAAGTGCATGTGAGTTTTTATGTGTCTGTATGTTTATAATGTTCACGTTTAGAAAAGGAGGACTGCATGGTGGACAGAAACATGGAAATGTATAAAGTGCAGCAGTTAAAAAGTGGTGGTTGCCTTCAGGAACAGTCAATTTTCCACAACAGTCCACAAAACCCCTAGGCCTAGCGAGTCTGCTCCCTTGGTTTGGTGCTATGGAGCTCTGTAAGGAAGCTTCCCCAGTCTGCACAAGCACTGTGCACCTAGGTTTTTGTTCTCTTATTCTAGGTTTCTGAACCGATGTTGCTTCCCCAGGAAGTCCCTTCCACAACAACTGTCCCCCAGAAATCAGCCCCACTGCTGTTCATCTCAATGCTCAAACTCAGCACTCTGCATCCTGACAGCTACATATTCTCAAATCTTGATCACTATGTCTACACTCAGCATCCTATATCACAGCTGCCCTTTACTCAGAGGGTTGATACATCGTCCCCATACATCTTCTTCCTACTCTGCATCCTGTGACCCAGTTCTCTCACTCCCCATTTGCTGCTGTCCCTTGCACGTACACATTCATACAACTTCCTACCCTTGTGCTGCAAGAGGGAAATCGGGAATCACCTGCTAAATCATTTCTTTGGCGAGTGATGACAGTATTTAAGATTTCTCACACCCTATGTAGTAACCATGCCAAATTGTACACCTAGCATTTCTGTTGATCAGGGTCTCCCCTTCTGAGAGTTCAGCTGCCTGCACTCAAGGATAGCTCATCAGTAAGAAGATATCAACTTGAGAAGCCTCAATCAGCCTTGCAGCTCATGAATAAAAGCTGGAAAGCAGATCAGCAGAGGCTCCCCCAAACAGCTCTGTAAAGAAGCCTTAACGTGGCTTACACTCAGAAGAAACTGTTAAGATGAGACACTCTCGTGCTTCCTCCCTGTCTGAGAAACAGTGCAGCTGCACAGCAGCAGCCAAGCCTCTGCACGGTCGTGTACCTTACTGATTGGATCGTGACTATATCTTGCAGAGTTGACTTCCCAGCTTGACCCTGGACCTGCGGCATCACTGCACACTCACCTGAGTATGTGTACTCTTGGCTGCCCTGGTTACCCTCACCTGGCTTCCTCTGCTCTCATAGACTGTTGGACTGCCCTTTGGTCAACAAGGCTACAACCTCTGCTCCCCTTGTTATTGTGCTTGGCTTCCAGTTCCCCTTCCCTTCTGAGGCAACTTGCTCCCTAACTCTGCTGAGTTCGGGAGTTAATCAGCTTTCTGCATAGCTTGCTGGCTTTTCTTCAGTTTTGACTACTTTTTAATGATTAGCCCAAATTCAGCTGACCTACATAAAAGCATTGAAAACTGCGTAAACGGTGTCTGACAACAGCATCAGATTTTGCAAATAAAACTGACGTTATTTCTGTTCCATTTTCTTGTATAATTATACAGGCTACACTACTGGAAAACTCCACTGTATAGAATGGCATTTAAATTGAAATAGTTGTCAATGCTAATGATTTTACATACCTGAGGCACCCACTTGGATGAAACGAAACTGGTCACTTCTATTGCAGGCAGGCCTGTTCTGGAAAGCCGGTTGATTAACTCTATTTTGATATCAGTTGGGACTATCACCTAAGGACATGGAGATATATCACAGTAAATTATTTCATGCAGTAAGAAACTTTTTAAAGTGAAATATTCTTAGCACATAATCAATACTTTTTTTTAAATAATGAACTGTACTCATGCATTATACCACAACTATACTGTTTCATGACAGTAGGAAGCTACTGCACAAGGAAAGCACTAGACAGTATACATGATCCTACTCCACTTTTTGTCCACCACAAAAGAATGAGGAAGCACTTCCATGCAATTTGTTACAGATCTAGCCTCACTAACCAAACACCAACCTAGCAAAGAAGTGACAAAGGAAATAGTAACACAGAACAGTCCAACCAGAGAAAAATTTAAAAAAAGCTCCACAGCTGAGGCAGAGTAATTCTATTCTGTTTATAGTATTAGCACCTTTGATATCAGTAGCAACAATATATGCAAGCTTATCCTCCTGTCTGTGGAAAAAGATGATTGTTTTGATACATATACTCTATGTTACACAGCCTCTTTCAATCTTCTTCCATGCTTCACTACCAACTATTCCAGCGAATATTATGCAAAGAGTAATTGCTTTTTCTTTCCATGCCTGTTCAGCAAGAAGTGTGACAAAGCCTGTTGTACTATTCCTACTATAGTAGCACATGTAGCACAAACACATGTAATCAAGATAGCCAGTGTTTCGTGGTAATGTACAAGTTATGTCATAACAGAAAGTGATTGATTGACAAGACAAATATCAGAGAGAAAAATGGCAGCAGAGTAACAGAAAGGCTAGTTAACTAAGTATAGCAAGAAATTATATGATTTAACTACTAGCTAAATAGTAATATGCCTTTATTCTAATACACAAGACAGTTATTAATACATAAATCAATAAATGTATTTATAGTACAAAATGGAAGAAACACAATTAGCAGGATATACGTATTTTACACAATTAGCAGGATATATGTATTTTACACAATGAAAATAATGCTGATATCCATGTCAAAACACATTCCCAAAAATATAAAAGTTACCTTTTCATTTTGTAATCCATCTCTCGGCCCAACTTCTACAATCTTTACGTACTCAGGCAGTCCAGATGCTTGAGATTCCTGAAATACAAATCAATACTGAAACACAAAACAATGAAGGTCACCAAGATCAAAGGTACACTTTGTACTTGTCCTCTCATATGATTCTGGGTATAAACTCATATTGTCAACAGTAACTTTGCTCACGGCCTTTAAAACTCCATAAGAACATGTTCCACACCTTGAGTTAGGGAATAAAGTTAAAAGCAGAAGTTATCTGCACACGTGTTCCACTGCTGCTCTGAGGCCACAAATGTTTATCATAAAAACGTATATAAAACCATAAATGAACATTGTGTTTTATAGAGTGACAAATATTCCCATTTCAAAAAGCTTCCCAATGAAGGATCCAGTCCTCCAAACTTCTAACTGAATGTTCCCAACTTAACTGAACAATTACTTCTCTGTAAATGTTTGCAAGACCAGGCTATAAATCTGAAAAGAACAGAGCAGTCAAGAAATGTTGAAGAGATTATTAATGAAAGATGAAAGTAATTCCTCTGCCTGAAGATGAAGGTTTTAAAGAAGGATTTAAAGGAGAACAAGGAAGGCCCCTGGCAGACAAGAAGGATTTTCCAGGTGTAAGGCAAGATCTGGAAAGGCAGGAGGCTGACAGTGAAAGGAGGGAAGAAAGGCAGCAGTAAGGTCAAACAGCTAAGAAGAGCACAGGGAGTTGGAGGAGGAGGAAGGAGAAAGAAGAGCAGAAGAGCAGGTGAAGGGAAATGAAACTTCCTTTTTTATTATTTAGCTGCTCTGTTATTGAATCAAGTTGACAGGTGTGGCAGTTAACTTAACCTGGGCCTTTAAGTCCTGGAACGGTTCAGAGCAGCTGCCGAGACTGACCCCCGAAAAGCTGCTGTCTTTAAACAACAAATCAAATGGGCAGCCTGGGGCACACTGCCAGGACCGGTACAAGCAGACAGGAGGGATGCAGGCAGCCCCACCACGAGCTCTGGAGACGCCCTGTTCTCTGCACTGCACTGAATACAGAACCCGACCCAGTGCCTCTATCCCAGTGCTGAAAGCCCATGCTGGGATCTCCTGGGGGCCGGCTGCTCCTGCAGGACCCCCTGCCTCCCCTGAGAGCTAAGGGCCATGGGAAGGACGACGTTGTCAGCCCAGGCGACAGCTCCCTACGGGGCAGCCACAGCTCACCCAGGCACCAGAAGTCACTTTTGCAGCACGTCAGTATGGCCATTGATCTCCCATCATCCACGACCACCTGACAAAGCCATTCTTCATCCCTCCCTGGCTAGTATGGTCAGGGTTGTTTCAACCAAATGGCTGCTAATTTCTCCTCACGGTAATGGAAAATGAGCATTCCTACAGCACCGTTGGTTTCTCCCCGCATTCTCGGTGCTCGTGGATAAAAGTAAGTTCTCTGCAGCAACAGCCGCAACACTAGCCAAAATACAATAAACATATTTCAGAGCATTTACTGCATATTTATGTGAGCCCAGTAAAAAGAACGGAAACAGCTGTATAGTATCTATTTGATCACGTGGAACATCTGGTAAGTTAAAACTCTGTCAGGCTGTGCTAAGCCCACACTTGCTGACAGTATAAACCTACTTAAATGTGAAGGTAAAACCTTCACATCTGCTGCATATTGTTTCTCTTTTTTTAAGTTATTTTCACAAATATGGCACCGCCTCAGCACTACGGGCATAAATCTGGGTTATTTCATGATTATCAGATTCTTCTTGTTACCAGACGAATGCCACAGCTGCACTGTAAGTAAAGCTGTGACTGGAAAAGAAAAAAAAAAAAAAGGAGCTAAAATAGATTATGTGAACCAAAGCTTAATTTAGAGCATGAAAAAAGTCCATAAAACTTCAGTGGCAAAAATGTTCCATTTCTAGGCCAAAGCCTGTAAATCCTATTCAGTTCCTACTGTGGTAAAACTTCTGCTGAAATCAAAGAGCTGTACCTGTCTTTACAGAACAGTTCACACAGCTACAGCACATGCAGTGGCCACTCACACAGCCGTTCAGGGGATGTCTGGAGCCCTTGGATTTTGTAGGGGACAGAATTTTGGAAAGGGCATTGTAGAAAGGCATTCAAGTACTGATTTTTACACTCCATCTGTGATATTACAGGCATACAATCTCTTTGAGCCGCAGTCCAGGTCTCTCACCCCCTGATTTTCTCTAAAGCTTTCCTGTCCACTAGCCAGTCCCAACTTGAATTCACTGCTCTTGAACACGATGCTGAGAACCATGTACCACGTGACTCTCACAAGGGCCACACAGTGGAAACTCCAGGCAGTACTACAGACAAATCCTTACACTCTTCGAGCTGATGAATTAACAGCTTAGAGTAAACATCTTGGCTCTGAGTCCAGAAAAGTCTTGCTTTGAATTGAATTTCAGCTAGTTTCATCTGTAGTATATTGATTGCTCATGTCTTCAAGGTCACTCAGTTCCTCCTGTGTGGTATCTAGTGTGGTACTGACAATGTCTCCTGTCTTTCTGTCATCAGCAGATCTTACCACCTTGATACTTTCTGCTGAAAACATTTGGACTAACATGATTACCTTATTTTAACATCTACTTCTATTATCTAAAAAAATTTGGGTTGGTGCTATAGAAGAAACACGCTTTTAAAAAAGACTTGAGGACCTCCACCAGCAATGTCTCTTTGGTGTAATAAATCTGCTTTCAGCATTATCTCCTATTTTATCCTCAGCCAGATTCTTACTCATCTCACAAGTTTTGTTCTGATCATCCGTCTCCCCAACATAACTAATAATTTCTCTCGTGCTATACTGATAAAGTTCAGATAACAAGCAACTAAAAGGCAGGCAGATTACCTAGGTTCAGGCCTCCGTGTACTATTTATCCATTTTACAGTGCATAATCACTGGATAACACTCAGAAACAAATTAGAGACTATAAAAGTACATGTACCATCTTCTGCTAAGATAAGTCTAGCATTTTTCCATTCTGTGGTCCAAGCTGAATCAAAGGATTAAAGGAGTACCTCTTCGCCTTAATCTCCCGTCCTATGAATGCTCAGTAACTATTCTTCCAAGACGTTGGGGATAGGTGCTTGACAACGTTGTCAAGAAGAAAAAAGAGACTCCCTGCTTTCTTGAGAAATTTTCTGATCACAGTGTAACACTTGCAGAATATTTCGACATCACTTGAAACACAGCTGAAGAAGTCACCTGAGCCACCAGTCACATCCTGTGGCAGGCTCAGTGCCATCTGCATTCACTAGGCAAGCTTCAAATCCACAGAGCAGACTGAAGTCTTTCAGAATTTATGCAGAGTTTAAACACTTCTCTGTTTACTATTGTTGTGGGTTTGTGTGGCAAGGTTTTGGCAGCAGTTTTGGCAATTGGGGTGGCTTCTGTGAGAAGCTGCCAGAAGCTTTGCCCATGTCTGATAGAGCCAATGCCAGCCGGCTCTAAGACGGACCCGCTGCTGGCCAAGGCCAAGCCAATCAGTGATGGTGGGAGGGCCTCTGGGGTAACATATTTAAGATGAAAACCTTGCTGTGGAATGGCAGTTCCAGAGAGAGGAGTGAGACTATGTGACAGAACTCACAGAACTCTGCAGACACCAAGGTCAGCGAAGAAGGAGGGGGAGGAGGTGCTCCAGATGCCAGAGCAGAGCTTTTTCCCCTGCAGCCCATGATGAAGACCATGGTGAGGCAGGCTGTCCCCCTGCACCCCACGGTGGAGCAGACATCCACCTGTAGCCTATGGAAGACCCCACTTTGGAGCAGATGTATGCCTGAAGGAGGCTAGGACCCCACGGAAAGTCCATGCTGGAGCAGGCTTCTACAAGGACCCGTGGACACGTGGAGAGAGAGAAGCCCATGCCAGAGTAGGTTTGCTGGCAGGACTTATGACTCCATGGAGGACCCACACTGGAGCAGCCTGTTCCTGAAGGACTGCACCCTGTGGAAGGGAACCACGCTGGGGCAGTTCATGAAGAGCTGCAGCCCGTGGGCAGGACTTATGTTGGAGAAGTTTGTGGAGAACTGTCTCCTGTGAGAGGGACCTTACACTGGAGCAGGGAAGAGTGTGAGGAGTCCTCTCCCTGAAGAGGAAGGAGTGGCAGAGACAACGTGTGATGAACTGACCGTAACCCCCATTCCCCATCCCCCTGTGCCGCTCAGGGGGAAGAGGCAGAGAACCGGGAGTGAAGTTAAGCGCGGGAAAAAGAGAGGGGTGGGGGGAAGGCGTTTTAAGATCTAGTTTTATTTCTCATTATCCTACTCTGATTTGACTGGTGATAAATTAAAAGTTTTTCTCCCCAAGTTCAATCTGTTTTGTCCATGATGGTAGTGATCTCTCCTGTCCTTATCTCAACCCACAAGCTTTTCATTGTATTTCCTCTCCCCTGTCCAGCTGAGGAGGGAGAGTGATAGAGTGGTTTTGGTGGGCACCTGGCATTTCTCCGGGCCAAACCAAAACAACTATATGGATGGCATTACACCTTAACCAGGACTCGAGCTGTTCCCCAAACTCTAACCAGAGGATTCCAAATGTGCACTTTTATAATGTCCACATATAATGTGCACATTCTATAAAATGGGCACATTTCCTCAAGGGGATCCTTGGGTAAAAGGAAGGATTTTCAGAACCAGCAATGAGACAAACTTAGAGAATTACAACACCTTCAAGTATGGTATTAAATGGTCTACAGACATTAAATAGGAAATAGAAATAAATAATCCAAAATAGTTTTTATATTTTAAGAGAATACAAAAAAGGTGAACTTCCAGAAATAAAGTACTTACATTAAACACTAAACATGTCAAGTAAATAATTTTGTTGCAGAAGAAAAAAGATCTACTAAATTGTATTATATGAAGTATTTTTATGTAACAAAGTATAAAAAGTAGTTATAGTAGATACTTAGAGGTGACTGCTTATTGAATTATATAGTGGCTCTGTTAAAAAGTAATGACTACCTAAGTACAATGTTCGAAATATCAAAAAGGAAATAGTTGACATAAAAGACTAAGAGCCTGGAAAATTTGTTTTTTCCATGTATCAAGCCTTGCCAAGGGAGAACAAAAAGCATATAAAACCACAAAAAACTGCCTCCCTCAAAACAAAAAGCAGCCAAAAAGAGTCTTTTTTAAAAAAATAGAAAAAGGAAAGCCATACCATTCAGCTTGAGACACCGAATGCCAAATTTCTATATGGAAACATTTTCCCTCAGCTATAAATAGCTGAAAATTCAAGTTTATTATAGAAAATCCTAGTAACCCTTAATTAGAGCAGTACAATCTTATTAACACAACCATAAGTGTAATCAAATTAAATAAACACACTTTTTTAAGCTCTGTCACTGCTTCACTACTTCTAGTAAAGGTGCTGAGGTTCCTTCAGCCTTCTGATTTTTATTCCATGCAGCTCATTCATATGGGCAGTCATAGCACTGGCAAATATTACCCAGAGCTGCTCAAAAGTAACTGAAAGGACCCAAAAGCAAGGCAGAGGAATCTGGAGGTTGAGGTCTTTTCAAACTTTTTAACCAAGCAAAGATGAAGCTCTGCTTTGCTTCTCCACAAGGTGGTGTTCTGGCTCAGAGGACAACTGAACAAAGGCAGGTCCATCTTGCACAAGGAAGAATTATTCAGGAGAGCAGTTTTAAACAAGGGTCAGCAGGGAGGTGGCATCACAACTCCACATCTATACGTGCAGTGACATGGACAAATGCCCAAAAATCGGGGGAAGGCTCTGAAATAAATAATACAATTGCTGGAAGAAGAACAAAGAAAGCAGTGGTCAATCTTCTGAACAGATAGATGTCTCTAAACTTTACAAGACATAGAGGAAATAAACAGGAAGAAATGAAAATCTTATTACATGATCAAATAATGATTGAAGTGGTATTGCAGAGACTTGTTTATATAGTTCACACTGCTGGAAGGTAGATATAAAACATATTAATTCCCAGGTTAAGTAGACAGGAAACAGAGAAGATTCACCTGTGAGATATTGATAATATATATAGATATTCAGAAAAGAGTGGGACACACCTGGTGAATAGCCCTCAGTGAAGATAAACCAAGTATGTGTCCTAGAACTTCTGCCATATGCTGCTGACATGACCACTGGGAGAACAGTCAGAAACAGGCCCTGACAAAAAAACTCATCAGCCCTTGAGAAGCTTTCATGAAGTACATTTTTCTTATGATATCATTGCATATTCATGACCTGGATGATAACATAAAAATACCACAAACAAAGCAGTTGCAAGCGCTTTAGACAACAGGACTGGAACTCAAAACTCCATAACACAACATTTAGGACTATCCTTATTGTATCTGACGCTGACTGACAAAAGAATTTTTGCATGTTGTCCTTTACAAATCCTATCACGCTTA